CACTGAAGACAACTTGGAGGATACACTTTTATGAGAGCCAACAATAAATTTTGATTTTATGGACGAGGATAAATTAGTAGTCGATTGGATTGCAGGCTGTCTAGAATGAGTATCCGCATTCAGCTTGGAGAGTAAAGTAGTTGGTAGATTGTTTGAACCAGTGTTTAAATTAGGAGAAGTGGTAACCTTAGCAGTCGTATTGAGACGGTTTAGCTTATCATGTAACTTAGAGTTACTAAGTGCTACAGATTTGAGCTCATCGACAACAGATTGAAGAATAGTGGCCACATTTAATGAGTTCTCAGAAGATAGCGATGTAGGGTTAGAAGAAGATCCTTTTAAGAATGTTGACAATTCCTCGCTCAATTTCACCCCAGTAGGTAGTGATTGAGTAATAATGAAGTCAACGAGCATGCTTTTTGTCCACTTATTCAGCTCAGTAGAAAGTAGATCATTACTTTGGGCCATTGCGTTAAACGACTAAAAGTTTAACTAATAAGCAAATATTCAAAATTAATTAAAATAAAATAAGACGCCTTTGAAAATGTAGATAGGCCAATTAAATTACACCAGACGCTAAAAGCAGCTATATGTGTTGGCCTTGACACGTGCCGTGTTCTAATCAAGAAAAATTCAGAAGCGGGACGCCGCTACTTATCGTTAGTCGATAAGCCGTAATTAACTGATAAAGTGAATTTATTAGGTTTTACCTTATCACGTTCACGTAGTATAACAGAATTAAAAAACTAACATTAAGTGAAGAAATATTAGGAAGACTGACTCAACAACGACACCAGTCATTCGCGCACTTTTTATAAACTTAACGAGCTTAAAAACGTAAAAAACGGTTAATTATTTCCAAAGGAAACAAGAAGCGAACACAGAGCGTAATTGACCACTTGTTCACTTGTCCGCTAGTGTAATGATATGCTCACACACAGGGCCGAACTTAAGGGTCTCAGGGCCTCAAGGCAGCTTTTAAAGGAAGGCCATTTTAAATATATATTAATAAAAACTGTTTTTAATTTGTATATATTCAACATACTAATAAATAAAACAAATATTATAACAATATTTCTCGCACCGAAATAAAAATTTTTAGTGTTTACGGTTATACATTTATTTACGGGTTTCGGCTATAAATATAATCGAATAGAAAGAAACAATCACTGATAAACACCACGAAATGTATTTATTTATGTTTATATACGGTTCCATAAAACTAAAACACAATATAATAATATTAATTTCTAAATTACTTCCTCTCAATAATATTCTATATTATACACACATTTATGTATGTGATACCTTTTTTTTGTGTGTGTTTCCCTGAGGGCCCCAGGAAGACAAGGGCCCCTAGGCGGCTGCCTAGTTGGCTTAGGCGGAAGTTCGGCCCTGCTCACACATCATTATGACAATTCTCTAAAAATATGTAACAATAATAAATGAATAACACGGTCAAACTGTCGCATGTAGAAATCGGAAATCTCCAGACCACAATAAATCATTGTCATTTGTCACAGACAAAGTAGTCTAATTATTATATTATACGATCAGGGATTAAGAAGTCGGCACCTATGTCTGTTTGCAACGGTAGAGCGTAGGACGTGTGGCTTTCTTACTTGCCGCCGGAG